GGGACTATTTTGTACGGGTAACTACACCACCACCGCATTTTTTATTAATTTTTTTTTCACACAACTGAATTTTGATCTTTTAAATTGAAATACCTGATTAAAGGGTGGCCGAAATTTTTCTCCGCCCCGGGCGGCTAACACCCACGGTACGCCACTGCGCATCTGAACTCGTCTATCAAAAAATTGGCGCATGGTATGCAAAAGGTTGGCCACCCCTGCTGTAGAGAATTTGTAACTGAGGTGAGTTTTTTACCGTTTCATTATAAAATTGAAATGAATTCTTTCAAGTCTTGAAGGGAACTCATTCACCAGAAAAAGTATTTTTTTATTTTTCTTGAAAAGTTCTGGTTTTCTGTAATTGACACTATGGCATTACACTCTTCATATGCAGTTTAACATCTAAAAATGAGTGGTGCTAAACTCTTTGTAGCTAGCTGAACTGAAGCTGAAAACAATGTGTTCATCTAAGGATGCATATATACCAGCAAGCAATGATTTGTGATATTGTCACAATTCTGGGGGGCAATTTTTCATCATAATGTCCTCAATTTGAATAGTGTCTTGCTCCTGTACATCATACCTCTTGGAGTCACATCAGTCATCTAATTCCATTCAGGAGAAAATGAATTAAAATAACATGACTTCTGGTCTAAACCAGAAGTTCATATATAGGGTATGTTCGTAAAGTCGAACAAGTTAAACGAGAATGACATCATCGTTATTCTTATTTCATTAGACTTTTTTCGAACGATTTGTTTTTAACTAAATAGATGTTTCTAAAATCGAAGATACAAATGTTGCTAGTGCAGCCTTATCCGAAATATTTTTCTTAGATTGCTTTGGATGGACAGTTATTTCAATCATTTCATCCTTTAATTCACAATTTAAACACTCGAGAGATTCAGAAACATTGATATCGTCAGGTAACATTTTCTTAACGAAGTAAACTAACTCTTTCCTTTGAGTTTTGTTCGAAACGTTGTCACCACAGAGCATGCGCACTGAGTGAGACTACTACTTTTCGATTAAAACTTTTAAATTCTCCTAAATTAACATTTAGCATTAAAACAAAATGCTTAACTATTTCTTAAGTATGTGCTGAATTCGTAAATCCTTACAATTATATTAAGAAGAAAACATAATTATTTAAACATTTTTATGATAAATGTTTTATTTTGACAAAAAGAACATTTCATTGAGCTGCAATTTGAAAAAATTGTAAACCTATAAATTTCCACTGTCGTCTGTCTTTCCTTAGCTTGAGAGTGGAGTTAGGTAGATGAAAGCAGAGACAAGACATTGAAAGATTTGGGACAGGAGGCCCTGATTAACTATATACAAAAGTCTGGTTCAAACCAGAAGTTACGTTATTTCAATTCAGAAATTTTCTCCTGAAAAGAGTTAGATAGATGACAAGCACAACTCGACTGCTAAAGGAAAAGTGTGATGTACAGGGGCAATACACTATTAATTTGAAAGTGAAGAGTATATGTTTTAAATTAAACAAGTAAGGCCATTTTTGGGACAATACCATGTCTCGAAGACTTATTACTAAGCAGGATCACTTCAATGCTCACGGCAGGTCTCGTTCTCATTCTCCAATCTTCTTGGGTATTGCTGGTTCTGAGCGCAATCGTTCAAACTTCACCAGCCTCAGCCATGGCTATGAGGCATTTCTGGTGAAATTAACCTATCCAATGTCAAAGTTTCTTTCTGTTGTGTGTCGCCCTGAATTGAATTTTTGTCAATACCTAATGAAAATTTCCTGTTTTTGAAAGCATTATCATGGTTATTGTATCATTCAAAATTATTTTTTTTATTTTGCACAAACAAAATAAATATATTAATAAATGTAAAAACAAAAAAAAAATTATATTTTGGAAGTTAGTTTTAATATAAAATTATAACGACTAGTGCCATCTAGTTTCAAAAATGTTCTGATGAAACGAGATATCTTGGGTCAACCGGTCAAGGTCAGCAGGTTGCAATGAGAGAGGTGTTGGGAATAATGCAGGACAGGTAAATGGGTTTTTTCAAAGATTCATTAGTCAAAATTCAATTTTGCAATGTTTGCATTTCCAACTTCCCAACGAGCAATGCATACACAAATCTCACGCTAGCACCTGTTTGTAGAAAAAATGTCACCATTTTGTTTTTTATTTTGACTCGGTTCTCAGTCCCCTGAGTATTTACAGGTTTATTTTTATGTGCACATGATTTCGGCACCAAATACTATGTGCCAAATTGCAACTCCTGACATGTACTCCTTCAATCTCTAAGGTGTCCAGCCATTGATGGCACTGCAATTTTATAAACAAAACAGTCTTGTCAATAAATTTTAAAATATGATTAAAAATTGCTGCCCAGCATTGTGACAATGTCACAAATATTTGCTTGTTTTAATATAAAATTTATGTTTGAATAAATTTAAGCTATAAAGAATTAACTTTTTGAATTATAAATTAAACCTTTAATAAAATTAAAGTTTAAAATTTTCTTCATAAAATTAATTTCAATAAACCTAACTAAATACAGTTTTTAAAAGTATAAACAATTTGAGATGCATAATTTCAATCAATACTAAAAAAATTATGACTTCCATTCATTTAAACAAACTTAAAGTTTCTCTGTGAACACCATTTCTTTCCATTTCAACAATTTGATATGGGACTTGATGTTGCTTCTCTATGAATTAAGTGTTTGGAATGATGCTTGACAAAACAATTTGCAAAAGTATTTTTTGCACGTTTTTGATAGCTTGAATTTTCTAGATCATTACAATAAAATTCTATTTGATTAATAGGACTTGAAATAGTCTTATTATTCCTAATAATACTTTCATAAAAATTCTAAAACTAGATTTATTTCTGTCATTTTAAAAGCTGAAGAAAGACCTTATCAGAAGAACAGATAAAAAGATAGCAAAATTTTCATGCTTTAACAAATTATGCATCTCAAATCAATTTAGCAAGTGTTACTCATTTTGAATTTTTGACACTGAAAAATTGTTTGTTATAAAAGTATTTTGTTAAACAATTAAGAAAAAACTTTAGAACATATAAAAGACATTTTAAAAAGTCCAAAAGAACACACACACACACACAGAGAGAGAGAGAGAGAGAGAGAGAGAGAGAGAAAATCTTAGATAATACCAACTGCAATAACCATCAGATTTATTCCTGGTAAATCCCACATTTCTGATGTTTGTGTTTAGATTCATGGTGTCATTAAATTTCATCACCTTTTCTCTCAACATTTCTTTAAAAAATTTATTTTATTTTTATTTATTTATATACTATCCTATAAACCCAATCCATTATATTTTGTAGAAAATAAATGTTTGCAAATTTTTCTATATAAATTTCTTTCAAATGACTAAGAAAATAAATAAATAGGATTTATCATTTTTATATTATGACTAATTTCCCTTGTCTAATAATAATAATAAACGAAACTCAGCAAAAATTAAACAGAACATAATTTTATTATTGACATTATTATTATTTTCTGTTTAATTTTGTTCAAATTATTGTAACTTTTTAAACATAATTTCGTCAGAAGTTTCATTTGTTTTAATATTTTCATTTTGTAACAGCATCATTAATTACTTTTTAGAATTTTGCCAAAAGTCAATGATTTTAATATTCATTTGAACCATCAATGTTCTTTGGTTTAAATTTTTCATGTTTGTAATCTAATAATATAAGATGAATGTACAGGTCTACAAAAAAATCAAAGAGAACACTTTTAAGTGAACATTGTAAAGTAACAAAAGTGATTTGCATAATGATGTGGGTGATGTTTAAATCATAGAAAGTCTAGCAAGTGCATGTGTGCATTCTGCACAAATGCACTTGCTAGACTTTCTATGATCAGTTATCTAGGACAAAATGGTGAATAATAAAATAAATAATGAAACAGTTGGGATACTTAGGACTCTTAGAAGTTGAACGGTTCTTCAAATAAGTTCAGAAGAATTTAAGAATGAAAGGACAATGCATTTTCATTGGACAGATTTTGAACATTAAAAATGGTAAGCAGAGAGCATCAGACAAGGATCAAAGCAAAGCAGTGGTTGTTGAAAATGTACTGCAGGTCTTGGCCATTCTATTATCTGCTGAAAAAAAAAGATGGCAAAAGTTTATCACAACTGACAAAACTTCTTCTTGAAGCTTAAATCCCAAGGCAAAAGGAAGATCTGCTACATTAACAAGAGCCAAAAATCACTCTGAACTCAATCTGCAAGGGGTTATGTTTTGGGCTGGAATTTCAGCAAAGGGAGTAACGAAGCCCATTTTAATGGAACATAGGACAAAAATACTGGACATACTGAGAAAGACAATTAAATGTAAGAGTTATAACAAAATAAAAGTGTTCACTTTCATTTTTTGTAGGCCTGTAATTTCAAAAACAAATCTAGGAAAAAAAATCATTTAGTGTAAATCAACTTCAACCTGTGATTGGAATTCAAAATTGGCACCATTAGATAACCCACACACCCTTTCAAATTATCTTTCAAACACAGATAACCTGTGGGTTATCCCCAAAATTATGGTACTATCATTACAATTATCTCTATTAGATTAACAATATAACTTACTAACTCTGAAATTATTTGTAAAATGTATTAATAAATCTGCATGTAAATATAAGTACAGTAGACCCCTCTATAATATGGTAGATACGTTCTGTATTATATGAATTCGTGTTTTATAATCACTTAAATACATGAGCCAATCACAGACCGGCACGTATGCAGTTTACAGAGTATGGCTGTTTGAAAGGTTTTCCTCCATAAAATTAATCCAATCTAGATTAATTTGACTCAACATTTCCAAAACACGTATAATTTTTTGGGAATAATGCATATAAACTATGCTATAAACAAAAACTTGTAGGATTACTTACCGAGTGTGCACCGTTCGACGACGCCATTGCTTAAACTTGTTTTCGTCGTGGAGCGGCGTATCAAACGGCAGGTGCATGTTTCCTGATAAATTATTTTTCTGTGAAAAATTTGCTGAACTTTTGAACATCATTAATATAAATATAATTTTTATGGCCGTTAAATAATGAATAGTTTTTTAGTATGTCCACTGCTCATTTAAACTCAACGATTTGTGCAATATCCTCTATTGGTCTAGATTCGACCAATCCTGTCGCGACACGAGTCGGCAATGACATTTTACTGTATTTTACGAGTTTCTTTTAGCGTGTTTATACGAATATTGTCACAATTTTTTCACCGTTATATATGAATCCATATTATATGAACCCATTTTATAGGGGGGTTCTACTGTATACATAATATGATCTAAAATATAAATACATAACATTCAGCAGAATATTTGGAAAACAGTAAATTATTGTATGTAGTTCTATAAATATTATATGCAGTTCTATAGATATAACAACACTTTTAACAAAAATATATCAAACAAACATGCCTAATAATTTTTATGGATTTATTTGATGTAGAAAGAAATGCAAACACAAACTGAATTAATAATAAACAAACAAACAAACAAGCATATACAGACACAAAAAAATAAGACATGCAAAGGTAAAAATATTACTCACTCTTTGATTTTGCCATAATGTCTGCAGTATAGAACAGATAAATTAGCAGATTCAGATTAAACAGGAAGTTGGCTAAATGAAAAAATAAGCAAATAATAAATAATAATAATAGTTTAATTTTTAAAAATATATGAACTCATTCATTTAAAAAAATGTAAAACCAAACTTAACATTTTAAATAACTGTAACTTTTATTAAATAATTAAATCATCTTAAACATATATAAACAATAAAATAAACCCAAAATCATTTGTCAAATATGCTAATCATATATTATTAGATTATTTTGGGCTATAATTCTGTCATAGCCTGAAAAAATGATACTTCAATGTTTTAAATCAATTGCTAAGTAAATTATTACCAACTTAAAATTGATTAAAAATATAACAGCATTATAGTTTAAACAAATATCTGGTTTTTTTTCAAAGTAATTACCTTAGTTACTTTAAATAAACTTTTTAAAACAATCTCAGACTGTCCTTGATATTCTACTAATACTGTTCAGAAATAGAATTAATCTTACAGATAGTCTTCTTAAAAAAATTTCCATAAAGATCTTTCCTCATTTAGAAATTAAATTATTTCTATTCTAATTATATTTACCCTTTATTTCATAATATAACCATAAATGCTTAGCTTAAATGCTATCTTTGTTGTGTTCTGTCTTAGTTTGAGAATTTATGAGTTCAATTTCATAATTCAAAAACTTTTGAATTATGGAGACCTATTACTAAATTCTCATATAAGGAAGACAATTTAAAATAAATTTAAAGTGAACCTTTATATTTACATTACAGGGGTGGCCAACTAGACATGTTTCAGCAACCACACTCAAAAAAGTCAACATCAATAAAGCCAATGATTATGCAATGTAACAAAATGTAACACTGATATTAATAAGTGTTATACCAATATAAAATTCTTTCTGTAAATTGATGAATTTTAAACAAAAATTCCAGAACAGTTAGAAATATTAAAATTGCAACAAAAATTTGAAATTAGTTACAGTGAACATATTCAAAAAAAATTCCAGAACATTTAAAAAGTTTCAACTGTCAATGCAAATCTTCAATGGAAATGCCTAAAACTGGCCACTTAATGGACCAAAAAATGTTTGCACTTAGGATTTTGCAACATTAGGTGGCTACTGGAAATATGTGAAAAGTACTAATATACAGTATGTGTCACACATTTCCATAATAATTCTAGCTTTTAATAATTCATGTAGTCTATGTTATAAACTGAAACACTCAACCTCAGTCTCCTGTCACTTTTGTGGATCTGCTAAAGAGACACCTCTGCATGTCATTTGTGAATGTACAGATTGCTACTCACATAGACTTGTTCATCTGGGTTTCACATCATTAAGCTTCAGTGAAATCCTTCAGCTTTCCATTACAAGTCTTTTCTTTCTTTTAAGAGATCAGACTTCTGACTAAACCTCCATGGGGTGCATAATGGACCTGAGGTTAATTGGCAATATTCAGCAGATAGAAATTAGGTGGGTTTGGAGACTGATGATGAGGAGCTGGAGCAGGACTATGCTCTTCCTATGGCTTCCACACTTCTGTATGGCAGTTCCTTTGTTCTATATGGATGTCTGCCCTCTATGGCAGTCCTGGATTATTGTCAGCTGCCTGCTAATAAAGCAGTTTTGCTTTTTTGTTGACTGCCCTGAGAATATGATTTCTCTGCCTTTTATTACAAATCTCTCTCCAATTGGATTTTTGTATTCATAACATCTGACGGGATATTATTTCTGATACAAATGGACAGATGTTTGTCAGAGATGTGTGATAACATCTCTCCCAAAGGAAGTTTTACTTCCCTTTCCACAAATTTTACAAAAATGTGTTGAATTTCTCGCTAGAATATTAATTTAATTTGCCAATCAATTTAAATAAAACTTTCTCTGGCCTATAATTCTCACACAAGTGTACATCACTGTGTCAACTATGTGACATTTACTTCTTTAGAAAGTTGAAAAATTTCATAGAAGAACTTCAGAACAATTCAACTCTTCTCTAAGAAAATTGAGAATGCCACAACCAGGCATATGACAATTCATGCACTGGTACACAGTCAGTTACTGGCACCTATCTTTAACAATATCCTATTGTGTACCTTGTACCCTCACAATTAAAAACAGAAAAACAAACTTTTCTAAATGTTAATGACTTATCTTAATGATGGTACAAACAGAAATTGTGGTTGTGTCATAATTCCTACATTCATTTGGTGCACATGACATAGAAAAACAATATACTTTGTATGCTTTTATGACAATTACAACCCATCAATATGTATAAAATTTGCCAGGGACCATATATGGATGATTAAGGAAAACTATGAGGGGTGTACAAAAAGTACTGGAACTTTATTTTTCTCGCATAAACCAATGAAACGCAGGAGGCCTCCTTCGGTGGAGATGTGGAGGGGACAGTCATGCGCAGTCCTGAATTTTTTCTCACCCGCAGAAAGCATAAGTCGCTGGCAGTCGGCCTATGAGTGAGGATGTGTAGTGAGCACCCATCAGATTCCAGTAAGTTGGAAAATGACTGAACAACATGAGCAGCGATATTGCATCAAAATTTTGCCAAAAGCTTGGCAATACCCAAGCGGAAACAATTTGCAAGATTCAACAGGCTTTCAGGGATAGTTCCATGAGCAACATATGGATAAAGGAATGGTACAACCACTTCAAAGATGGCCGCACATCAGTGGACAGCGAACCATGTTCAGGCAGACCCTCAAGAAGCCAAAATGAGACTGTCATTCAGCAAGTGCAGACTTTGGTCATGGTGGACCGTTGTATCACAGTCAGAGAACTTGCGAATAAGAAAGGAGTAAGCATTGGATCGGTACATTCAATTTTAACTGAGAATTTCGTTATGAAGAGAGTGTCTGCGAAATTTGTGTCTGCAGATTCAGACTTTTGTTGCCAAACAACGTTCCTGTGGTTCGTCATGCTCCGCACTCTCCCAACATGGCTCCGTGTGACTTTTGGCTATTTCCCAAGCTGAAAATGCCACTAAAAGAAACCTGATTTGAATCAAGAGAAGACAACATGCAGAATGTGACGGACTGGCTGATGGCCATTTCAAAAGATGTGTTCCAGCAGTGTTTCCAGCAATGGCAGGAGTGCTAGGAGAAGTGTATACATTACCAAAGAGACTACTTTGAAGGGGATTAGGGTTTTGTACCTCAAAATCAATAAATGTATTTTTACCAACCAAAGGTTCGATACTTTTTGAACACCCCTCGTATATATAATAATTCACTATCTTCCTAATCGTATTTCTTGTTTATAAGTAAGTTACTCAGCTGAAAAACAAATAGCTCAAAAATCATCATAGTTTATAGTTGGAAACAAAAATAACAAAATTAAGAGAACAAAAAAGTTTCAGTGGATGTAAACACATGTGAGTAAGCATTCTACCTCCTGCAACCAACTATTGCATGCTGCTAACTATCAAACATTTAAGATAGTTCAAATTTTGACTAAAATAAGAAAAATTGCTAATTTTTGTTAAAAAACTCAGTTTTTGAAATAACATACATAAAATTACATATTATTTCAATATCTACCAATTTCCTGAATCTGAAAGCAATCCTTTGTCGTCACCTAAAATCAAAGTTTTCTTCAATAAAATAGAAAAGTGGATCCTAGGGCTTTATAGGGGATAGTTTTTAGTGCTCAGAATAAACATGCAAAAGCTCATCAAAATCTATGAAATATATTTCTGAGTATCTCCTTGTTAGTTCCATGGACTTTTCCATAATGTGTCATGCATAAACCAGTGGCATATTATAGCTTTAAGAGGCCCAGGCAAATGTGAATTAGGGGGACCCATGTACAGTACAGTGTTTTCAGACATTTTTCTTCAGGGAATTTTTTTTGGAGAAAAATTTTCTTACAAAAGATTGGTTTGGGATCCCTGCTATTGGGAGCTCCAAGCAATTGTCCTTTTTGCCCATATAATACCACACCACTGGCACATACTTACATAACATTTCAAAAAAAAAAAAACTGTCAAATTATTTATTATCAGGCTATTATAAGGCTGATAAATAATTAGACATAAATCAATTTGACTAAAGGTAGATGGTTACACTGCCATCTCATAATAAATTTAACTCTTTAAGCTCTAAAAACTCATTCTATCTTTGTTGCTAATGACTAATTGTTTTTAACCCTGAGCTACAAAAAACTTGTATAGCAAAACTAGTGTAACAACTTTTCAATTGGCCTATTTCATTTTTAACCAATAAGATTGATTTCGGCCGACTTCATGTTTAAAGAGTTAATAGTTCTGGGAGTGTAGATTATACAAGAGTCCAGTTAGAGTAATTGAAAATGCAAGTGCACAGTAAGCAAGAGTTGCAAATTGAAGTTTGTAGATAGACACTCAGTACAGTCGACCCCCCTATAACACAGTAGATACGTTCCTGTTTTTATGAATCCAGCTTCTAGGAGTCCAGCCAATCACAGCCCGGCAAGTGTGCAGTTTACAGACTACGACTGTTTGAAAGGTTTCTTCCATAAAATTAATCGATTCTAGACTAATTCGACTCAACATTTCCAAAATACGTGTAATTTTTTGGGAATAATCCATATAAACTATGCTACAAACAAAAAATTGTAGGATTACTTACCGAGTGTGCACCATTTGACTACGCTGTTGCTTAAGCTTGTTTTCGTCGTGGAGATTGTCATCGAATGGCGCTCGCGTGCTTCCTGATAAATTATTATTTTTGCGAAAAATTCGCTGAACTTT